TATATATATATTATATTAATTATGATGCTGAATTAACGAGAATATTAAAGAAATAATATATAATCTTTTTTATTATCATCTTTTTTTGTTTTGTTTTAATAAAACAATTAATAAATGTATCTATATATTTTTATTTTATTTCATATTATTACAATTGATAATAATATTTTAAATATAAATATTTAATTGATGTTTAAATATTTATATTTTAAATTATAATATAAAAATATATTTATAATAAAATAATAATATATAGATAGTAATTAATATAAAATATAATTATATATAAATTAGGTATAAAATATTATTAAAATAATATTATTTAATTATATTCAATTAGAATTATATTATATAAATAAATTATTTATATATATAATATTATTTGAATAATATTAATTTAAAACACTAATTTTAGTTGATTAAGTTGCACTTGTGTGATATTACCAAAAATATTTTTCAATCGAATTTTATTTTATTCTTTTTTCCATTATAAATTATTAATAAAAAATTATGCTGTGTAATTTTTTTTTTAAATATCTTGTCATCTAAGAATAATAAAATTCTCGTTGTTTCGTATCATAGAAATAAAAAAATAAAATAGAACATTTAATTAATACAATATTTCGTATCAATTATCAGGACTTTACGTTGGATTTTTACTTCCGGCAATTCTGGACGGATCCACGACTTGCCTTTACGCAACAAAAAGGCGTCGAGACGTTAAGCGTCGGTTCGGAATTTATCAAAAATATCTGGGTACCGGATACGTTCTTTGTGAACGAAAAACAATCATACTTTCACATCGCTACCACCAGCAACGAGTTCATTCGTATTCATCATTCCGGAAGCATCACACGTAGTATACGGTGAGTATCTTTATTTTAATACCTAAACCCTTCAATAAATATATATAATGATATTTAAAGAATTTAAGAACTTCTATTACGAGATGTAAATTCTACGAGAAATTATAAAACAACAACAACAATAACACAACACGAGAATAATCTTCAATTTTATTTTTTTTCTTAAAAATTCTACAAATTCTTTTCTAAAAGATACGCCCAGAAACATCTTCCTTATTAAATTTTATTTAATATCACGTACCTTGCTATGTCCTCTCTATGGAAGAAAGGGAAGGGGAGGTAAGAATTTCAAACCTACCCTTAACAATTTTTTTCTATTTATTTTTTCCAATATTGAACAATCTTCAAATATCGTTATATAGTTCTATAGTTATTATAAACTATAGAATTAATAATAGAAAAATAATATATATATATATATATATATTATGATTAAAAAATAATTAATTTATTATTAATTAATATATTAATAATTATTTATTATTAAAAATTAATAAAAATAATATATATTATTATTATTATTATTATTATTTTAAATTAATTTTTTAATAATAATATTATTTTTTTATTATTAATTCTATAGTACATATATATAAAACTAGTATATCGAATATATTAATAAAATTAAAATAAAATTGTAATTATTTAACAAATTTTTCCATCAACATATTACGTTAAAAAAATATCATGTGGGCAGATTACACGTGTTAGAAGTGAAACCTTCGAAAAACTAAGTTTCGAGAGAAAGAGACGACTGCAGAATATCAGGAGTAGGATAATTGTTGGGCTTATTTGTTATAATATTATTACTATTACTACGGACTTATCGGAAAGACCCTACGGACTTATCGGAAAGACCCTA